GAAAGCACAAGGCAAAAGGTGGGTGTGGGTGAGCCCTCAGCTGACGTGGTGGTAAAAGACATTGCTAGCGACAAAGCTGGATCCAGGAGGGCCCCAGTTTCAGCACCTGCTCCATCAGGAGGAGTGCAGTCCTGCCCTGAACAAGGAACTGGCTTATCTCCCACAAGATATTAGAACCATTCACCCATGTGGCCAGGATTTAAATCCATTTATTCCACCACTGCATCCAGGCACCAATCGAGATCTTGCTTGTCCTCGCCTGACTCAGACATTTGGAGAAATAGGGAGTCATCAATATTTTGGCATGTGGCCTCCGAAATGTTACTCATGAGGGTATATAACCCCTGGGCTGATAAAGGTTCCCCACTGATACCAAGTTTTTAGTATAATATTTTGGATCCACCCACATTTTCAATCCAGTTTACTGTATTTTTCCATGTATGAGATGCTGTTTCTCCCTCCTTTTTGGCAAAAAATGGGGGTCATCGTATACACGGATAGTGGGGTGGACAGATGGGCGATTGTCAGCGGTTGCAGTGGGCAGGCAGTAGGGTGATTGAGTGGGCGGCCAATTGGTTGATTGGTGGCAGGTGGAGGAACAATGGTGGGACCTCCCTCCCCCCCAAAAAAGCTCCACAGCTTTTGTGATCAGCGGCTGTGGTGAGCAAATGGGCAGGCATTTGACGACAAGTGGGTTGATCAAAAAAAGCCAAACTGAAGGGCAAACTCCCTCCCCCCAACAAAAGCTCAACGACTTGGAACAATCTTTCCCCTCAAATAGCTCAAGAACTCAAGAAATGTTGACTTCTTAATTTTGGGTCCAAAAAAATATGGTTTTGTTTTTTTTACATGGCAGAAATTTGACACATGTCTTGCACAAAGGAAGCCAAATGAGTAGGGGACCAATTTATTCAAAATAGATGAATCAAGTTCCCTTGTCTTTTTTCCTAACATCTCCCCACCGCCAGCACTGAACACTAGGTCTGGTCTGATCAATAAAGGGCCATGGCATGGATGTTTTGTTGCCAGAACAGTGGTAGGTCCTAATCTTTCCCTGACACTGATGCCTTACAGCAAACATCTCTGCACATTTATGAGCCAGGATGATTTCCTCCAGAGAGCCATACTGCAGTGTGCTTAAAAGGGAATGGCTTAATTCCACAGGGCTGTGTTCCATGCCAAACTTGAGCCATGCCCTGAGGTTATGGACAGATGGCTAAGTAGGTGGCCCATCAACAAAACAGAGCGACTGTATTGTTTTTATGGCAGGTTAAGGCTGGTATAAAAATGAGTGCAAGAGGGATATAATTTTATTCAAATGTCTGATTAGTAGAACTCCTCTTATATATTCCAAATTGCCACCCTCCAACTTATGCACAGGAACGGGGAGGAAATGCAAGGCTGATACCGCAGTATTTATTTTCATAATTCATTCTAAATCCAAGGTGTTCTGAGTTGTGCAGACTCCAGAGACCTACAAGATATTTGTAAAAGCACAGTATAAACCACTAATGATTTTTATATGTGCTATATTTACTCTCTGTATTCTTAATGCAAAATATTCCTGCTTTGGTTCGCAGCTTATAAACCCAGTAGCCTTTTTATGGTTATTTTAAAATCTTTGGAACTCTTAGTTTTGAGAATCAGACTTTCTCAAAAAAACACCAAAAAAACCAACAACCGAACAGATAGTGTATCTGTTATTATGATAAGTAAACATGGACTTATGGATCAAATGGTAAACTTGACTGAAATGGAATACCTTCTTCCAATAATTGATGGCATTGATAACTTTGCTGTTATTTGCCCATTAAATCACTGACTGCATTTGTATGCTCCACTTCCTCAGAGCTGCTCAAAGCAGAACGTATGTTCTCTGCCTCCTCATCACAACACTGTGAGTCAGGTAGACTGAAAGCTGGCAGCTGACCAAGAGGAATGTGATTGTGATTGTGTGCTGCTTGTGTGTTTTCCATAAGTATCTGGTTGGCCTTTTGTCATGTCTTCTCTAGGCCCATAACTGTAAAATGCTTTGTAAGTTATTTTCAGAAAGGCCATTGGTTAAATCACCCAACTGAAAACACTATAAAACACTGTGGGAAAGACAGTATCCCCCTTCTAGAATAGATTGCCAGTTATAGATTTATGGAATCTTAGTCTTGGAAGGCACTTCACATGAATATATAGCCTAGCTTCATTGCGTTGATGATACCAAATATCTAAAGCTATCCTGACAAATTATTTGTCATGGAATCCCCCAAATTACTTAACACAACTACTCTGGGGAGTTTCTTTTCTAGTGGTAAATTGCTCTTGTGGTTGGATAATTTCTTATGATGTTATATCTATTATTTATTGATGCATTAATTTCACTGAACACTCGTCTCTTTCTCTGAGAACCTCAGAGCCGTTTCAGTACGGTTCCAATTTGGGCTTCTCTCTAAGCAGAAGAAATTGATTGTCTACTTTCAAACCATCCTCTGGGCAATCTGAACTACCATTTCCTATTATTTAAACTTCTGAACCTTAGAAAAGTTGGCTACACCCAAAGGCTTAGCTGCACTGAAGTCCTGTGGAAGTGACACATTCACCATGACTAATGTTCTAGGTTCCTTGAGAATTACATCCCACTTCATCCCACATCCCAATTCAGTGTGATTTACTCCCAAGTAAACATACATATAAAGCTGAGGATTGGTTTCTTGAGCATAACTAACCACAATCTGGGAACCATTGTATTAATCAACAGGTTAACAAACTGCTGCATAAGAAAATGAGACAAGCTAAAGGGTGGACTTAGTTCCAACCCATAGTAACTGGAGACATTGCTATTACCCATTACTACAAGCTATTTCCATCAAACCCTATCTATGGAATTCCTAGAGGCATAAAGTTGGGTCACTGTTGGAAACAGGAAGGTGAACTCTGGTCTAATCCAGTGGAATCTTTATTTTGATCACAACAGGCTTACCTTTTTATGTTGCCTCATGGGTGTTCACAACCTCAGCTGTCTGCTTCTTAAGACTCATTTTTGTTTTGGACTTGGCCTTCTTGGGACTGCTAAAATTTCCACATAGTTAATCAGATTTGTGTACTGATGAGGAACCACATTTAGAGCAAGGGAAAAATGCTATGAATGAAGCATTTCCCTCATTCTGAATTAGCTTCCTATGGTCCCCGTGACATTGCTGCATTGCCAGATCTAATTGGCTAAGTGGCAGCTTCAATTCTACTAGGGAAAAGAAGGGTGATTTGGGAGAGGGGGTGGGGTGTGTGTGCCAAATCTTAAACTGATGGGACTCTAAAAGGAGTGTTGCCACCACTACCTGAATACCAAATGCAGGGAAGGGGGTGTAAGCTCTGGAAGCACAAACATGCCCCATAGAATCCTCAAAAAGAGCAGAGCTTTAAATGAATTGGGGGGGAAATTGCAAAAAGCCATTGCAATCTTGGTCTGTAGTTGAGTGTCTTCAGATTTCCTTTTCATAAGTCCTCTTAAAGACCTTTTGCCATTGCTGTAACCCAGTGGTGTGTGGTCAAGGGACTAGGCAGGGGGACTAGGCTAGTCCCCTAAATGCTCCCAGTAAATTAGGATATTAAAGCATTTAAGCCTGGCACCTCTCAAAGCCCAGGAAGCTTCTGCCTGGCTTAGGGAGGGAGGCACAATGCTCATGACATCATCCGAAGTTGGTGCCTCTGGCCCTAACAGTTGCCCTATGAAAAATTTTACCACATGCTACTGCTGCAGCCCTACATATTATATGCTGTGATTTGATGATGCAGTTACTTTTGTCAAGTTCAGATTTCTTTGTTTGTTTCATTATGTTTTCTTTATTTAAAAATAATAATAAGCAATGGTGCTTGTAACTGTCTGAGAGTTGTTGTTTTTAATATAATTTTTATCTGACTGATGATTCTGAGAAACCAGGGGGAGGAATGATTTCTCTTTGTCAAAAGGCTATCCTGTACTTCATAAATATTTCTTATGTCAAGGTGTAATATTTCACTGTCCAAGCTAGTGTGTAAATGGAACAGATTTACGATAATACCAAACTCTTTTTTTTAATAGGGGTGTGTGTTAACAATAATCAATTTGCCAGTTTTTGAAGAAAAAAAGAAACAATCGATCATGCAGACGTAGTTAATTTGTAATATCTATTTCTAGCTGAATCATTCATAGGCAGCATTTCTAGGGTTTTATGTTAATCTGAAAACATACCCTGGAACAACTATGCTCTTTGCTTTGGCTTCGTCCATGGCATGTACAGACAGTGAGATTTCACTGTGGTCTTTGCACAGTACTTATCTGGGGTTGAAATACAAAAAATTGGAACCCGTGGTTTCCAAATGAACAGTTATTCAAAATCCACTGCTAACGTCAAAATGGAAGGTGGCTAATTCTATGTGTTATTTATTTATTTAGCAATATTTGTATATCACCAAATAAATAAAACAATCTAATATAAAGTAATGTAAAATATCCATTAAAATACCACTAAATCAACAGACTTTAAAAAACAAGACACAATTACCAAAATATAAAGTCAGTAGTTTAAAAAAACAAATCTATATAATAAAAATACATCTCTGACTAGGCTTGCTTAAACAACAACAACAAAAAAAGTTTTTTTATTAGTTGTCGGAAATAATATACAATGAAGAAGGATTTGCCTAATATCAATCTTACCTCCTGAAGTCTCAGTGGAACTTCTAAACCACACCCAACCCCTACTTCTTCCACGAAGAAACCTGGGCAATGCTTGTACACATGTCACACAAATGCCGATAATGAGGATCCATTCCAGATTTTTCACAAATGTATGCTTTTATGAGGTAGAAAAATAAACAGATTTTTTTTACTACATTGTTCCAGAATAGCAGCTAAATAATGACAACATTGTGTGGCAGCATGCCAAAAATTCCCAAACACACACCCGCAACGGACTATACCAGTGTAAGTGCACAAAAGGCCCAGTTTATCGGTTACATGCATTATTTACCTTCTCCGTCTGTCTTCATGCAGCAACTTTGGTTCTGTACACCAGAGAAATCTGCAGGTCGTTTGCAGAAGCAAACAATAAGGAATGACGGTGGAAAACTTCCTGACTTTGGGTAGACATCCCTGAGGTCTTTACGCAAACCATGTTTATAAAACAGTACGATTTTAAAAGATGCTGCCTGAGCCTTTGGGAGAGAACAGGAAAAAAATATGAATAGAGTATTAAAAATGAATATAAAAATTCCATCCGTGTTCTGGCAGCAGACCTGGCAAATATAGTGACAAGCATTTATATTTTCCCTTGGGTGTTTGTGGAAGCATCGGAAAATGTCACAGGATCAGTATCCTAACTGACAGAATTTCCTAAAGTGATCACTTGGGAAAACTAAACCCAGAGAAGACACTTTAAGTAATATAGGAACTCAAGTGCTATTGCACACCGTGGTTTGACCTCCCTTTTTCAGCTGAAAGCAAAGCCTGTTATCTTTCCATGGGCTTTTATATGATAAATGCAGGGGATTTAGAGCAATCCAAGCTGCAAATTTTTCAACACTTGGGCAGCAAGGTTAAAGAAAACAACAGCGATTCTGCAATCTGTAGGTTGTGGTCTGCATCTGTGAAATGTCTTCTTTGATGCAGCACCAGGGCAAAGACAGAATTAATGGTGATAAGACAAAAGGAATACCTCCTACCCCTTTAAATGCATTTACTATGATTAACCTATTTTATACTTCGAGAAATGTATTCATTTCCTGTATTTTATCAGCTCTGTTGTGAATGATGACTATCCATAATCCCCATGTTCCTGGGGTTTTTTGTTTTTGTTTTTAACCATTCATTCAGCCAAATAAGCGATACTATTATCCTGCATATGTGGCTGATCAATATTTATAAGGACTGTTAGCGATGAAGTGTAAAACTTAAAATGGGGGGAATGTCCTTGCTTTTCACCTCTGTATCCACAGTGGAAATACATGCTTCATATGGATTTTCCTAAAGATTCCTGAAATAGAGCAGGCTGTGCTCTAGCAAAAGTAGTAAGCCACTCGCTCCTTGATGTCCATCTGCCTGTCAATATGTTTGGGCCACGCACAACCTGGACAATCTATTTTGAGCAGCTTTCACGTCAGCTGGTGGTATGCTGTAGCCAAAGTTGTGGCTGGGAGCATCAGGACAAATTTATTAAATACCAGAAACACTGCAAAAACTTCTTTAAAAAATAAATAAAAATTGTGAGCTTTCTTTCTAGATCCATTTTGAGTTTTAAACAGTTGTGCAATGCAAATGGGAGTGCCATTGGCTGGCTGAAAATGAGAATGCTTGTTAAGTAAATTTGTATATTCATTAGGTGTGTAGTAGATAGGCATGAATGCGAGTCCTACTTTTGAGGGGGTTCTAGGCAAAGGGCCCTTTGATTCACGGATGGGGAAATTGTGGCTCTGCAGGGATTGCTAGATTACAACTCCCATCATCCCTGATCAATGTGATCCTGAGCCCTCTCCTTATATGTGTGCGCATGCGTATGCACGTGTGCTTCTGGTTCCATAAACTTGATTATTAGGATGACTGTATACATCTGCATGCATTCATATCTCCAAATGCTGTGTGATTTTCAAGCATTATTTTGCCTTTAGATGGGACTTGTAACTTAGTGGGGGAAAGTACCTAACCTTGCGCAACATACTTTACCTTTTTGTTGAAAACAATGTTTGAACTGCTAAATGGATCGATGAAAATTGATTTTTGCATAGTAAGCAGCAGAAAACAATTGTCTAAACGGGAATATAGTCTCAGATTAGCAGCAGAAGAATAGTATATGTTTTTATCAATAATGGGCAATTTATACATCAGGAAAGATTGTGTAAAGGCTAGAGAAACAGTTCTCTTTATTGCTTTTCTTGAAAGCAAGGTGTTTAATTCCACTTTGGTAAAATATTTTATGCTATGTTTTTAGAATCTAGTTTTGGACTGGTGGATAAGTAGTATATAAACACGAGAAACATGAGAAACTGGCAGCAGGGAGTTGGGAAGATGGTTTTACCTAGATCTCCTTCTGCTGGAGGGAAGCTATGTAGACCGAAGAAAGACCAAGAGGTAGTATAAGATGAAATACACAATTAGGTAAAGCCTTAATTAAAATCATAAGCAATGAAATTGAGGGTATGCAGTCAGGTCCCAATGCAAGGGAAACATATGCTGCTGATTATGTTTCAAGCACTTGTGGGGGAACCAAACATGGAGAGTATGAGTAACATTTGAAAAGAAAAGCAAAACCTAAAGCCCTAGAGTTTCTTATCAGGTTGTCACAGCAGATTGAACATCTTCGACCTTTGTTTGCTCCAGTGATATGATGATGGTATAATGATAATCTACCAATGCTGTGCTTTTAATGAAGTTTCATGCTGTTCAGATTATAGGCTGCCATCAGATTGAGGTGAAGTGAGATATAAATATAAATAACATTTTGTACTTACTTTTGTTAGAATTTAGTACCAGTGCTTTAGATCATTGGTTGTTACAGTGGAAGATGCCTGTTCCAGTCAAAGGAAACACTTTCTGCCAGACACTTTTTTCTTTTGTACGTATCAGTTTGGGGTACAGTATGTAGCAGGGTATGTGAAGTGGTGGCCCCCATACTTCGGAATGCCCTGTCAAAGAAAGATGTGTCTGATACTGTCTTGCCTCATTAGTAATTTTTTTTGTTTGTTTGTTTATCAAAAAGTATATTTAGGAGCTATTTGTTTGCAATATCTGTGATTCTCAAAGTGGTTAATTTTACTGGTCTCTCTATTTATATGTTGCTTGCCTAGCTATTTATAAATCAATTGTATTTTTATATGTGGATTGTTATGTAAGGATTTAGGTTTAAGGGTACAGTGGTTAAAAAGTTCCTTCTCCTTTTTTCAAAGTGATATTTTGATGTTCACAATTACTTTGGGTATTCATCAACAGAATGCAACAGATAGATTCTATAAATAAATTAAAAATAAAATATTATCTCACTGACGCTGTGTCTGTTTCTCTGGAAGCAACAGAGCTGTAAAAGCTTTCCTCACAAATTGTAAGCATGTTTCTGAATATTGAAAGGCACCAGGAAGCCTCTTGCTCTGCTCTTCAAAGACAGGCCCCAAGCCACCTCAAGTCAAAATTTCATTTTAAATTGATGTAAATAGGAGAATTACGTACATGCAATCCTATACATGTCTACTCACAATTAATCCCCATTGAGTTTCCTGCAACTTCTTCCCACATAACCATGCATATAGATTGCAGCCTACGAATATAAAAGTGTTTGTACCCCTGAGTTCTTGGATACATGTGAGATGCAAGTATCATAACCACATTTCTTATATTGCTAAAATTCAAATGTGTTTCAGGGGGGAAAGAGAGGAACTATGAATCATTCAAAACAAAGAATGTGACTCAAGCAGAATTATTATTCATGAAGCTGTAAGCAATACGTTGAAGATTATGCAGTCGGAAGGCGGGGGTGAAAACTGCCCTTACATTGATCTTATCAGTAGGAATAGTGTCTTCAACCTGGTATTGTAAGTAAGATATTGGGTTCATCGCCGGCTATTGATAATCATAGAACTAAATAGCTGGCAAGAGATTTTCATGAGCTGCAGTAAAACAAGGGGGGCAGAGGGACAATTGCAGCGTACTGGCAAGGACTCAGCAGTTTACACGCAACATATTTAATTGCTAAGAGAATATGGAAAGGAAGGAAATCTATCATATTTTTAGAGGAGCCATCAGAACTTGGAGACACAGCAGAATGTGGTAAAACAGAATGGAATTGTTGATGCTGAAAGCTAAGCCAGGCAGACAGCTCAATTCCCTTGTGAGGGGAGAAGTAGGGGAAGAAAAAAAAAAAGCAATACTGAGAGCATTAGTGGAGAAATAAGATGGGGGAGTTTTCTCCGTAGATTTGTGATGGCTGTTGGACATCTGAGAGAAGAAATATTTTTCCCCTTTAGGATTTCAGATGGATTCCTGCCTGATCTTTAACCTTCTGTAAAGTCGGCACAGTGAGCTAGTCCTATGTGAGAAACATTCAGGGCTTATTCCTGTTAGACTCAGTGTCCTCAGTGGTAAGCAGCTGGATATTATTCAATACAGAAAGGGGTTTTCAGCTGCATAAGAACTTCCAAGGTCCCTGGTACTTCAGGATATATGAGGAGGAATCCAAATAGACCTTGTTATGAATGAAAGGCAGTTTGGGGGAGTATAGGGGATGCAATGGGGAAGAATAGGCAGGGAGGGTTGCATTGCATGTTGAGGTCCCCAAGACAGCCTCCCCCAATAACTCACACATCACAAAGAATTTTTGTTTAAGGTTTTTGACATAATTTTGGCCACAACTTTATTAACATACATGGATGTGAATGGTTGCTTAGGCATTGGTTATGACTATCTGTCCCCCCGCCTGGGGACAGAACTGACTTCCGGATTCCAGCGAAAGTCAGTGAGGGGAAACAATATTGGGTAGAAAGTGGGGCTGAGCCACAGGCCCTCACCTTTCCCCCTCAGGCTCCCAGGGGCTTTCACGGCCCAAATCCGATACCAGGGATAAGGATGAAAGCATGGCAAGCCCCTGAATTCCTTTAACAGAATTCCCTTGCAGCACCATTGGAGGGGCAGGCCCAGCCAATCCTTACCCCTCCTCCAACCAATTATTTAACCAATGCCTAACCGCAACCTTACAAGTTGTGACGATTTGCTATGCAGTAGGCAAAAACCAAATGGCACCAGCCAATCAGCCAAATGGACAAAATTCCTACCAGGCCCCTGCCCCAATGGCAGACGACCCCATGACAGGCATAGCAAGGTCAACACACCATAAAAAAATAAGTGAGGGTGGGCGGGTGATCCGTTGCATGCAGCAAAAGTGAAAGCTCTCACGCTGCATGCAATGCTTAAAAAACCTGTTCCCTCCCCTTAAATGGCAACATAAATTTTACCCTAGCAACACCATCTACCAATCGCTGCTAGAGGCCATCTATCCTAACCCGCCCAGCAACAGAGGGGTGGCTTGGCTGGCCCAAACCGTAACACGTGCTCTCTTTTAATGAGAACACGCTTTACACAAATCTGAAGGCCACTGCATTGTCTAACCCTCTCCTAGACTAAGGAAGAGAGGGAGGGGAATCTGAAGGCTCAGTTGTATTTAATACACCATGCC